GTACAAATTCGATTCGACTAAAATCTGAGCCCATACGAATCCAGCCAATGATTCACTTCTTTGAATCAGGTACCAAAGCAGTGACGTAAGTTCACCACTTTCGAAGCTTCGGACGTCACTGATCACGTGACTTTTACCAAACGAATCAAGCTCCGACACAGTGCTTCTGAAACAGTGTGTTGTTTTTTTTAATACATGCGCCGAAGCTTCAGCTTCAAACTGCCCATCACTAATGGCTGGCTATTTTTGCTGCTGCCCAGTTGTACTGGGAAGTGGGAATTTTCCACTCACAAATCATAATTTTAAAGTCTGAAAGTGGAAAAGTTCAGAATTCAAGATGGCAGCTACTCACCACAACTCATCAGTGAGTAAAACTCTCTTACTTTTTATTTTTAATAGTATTTCTGTATTATTTATTTCACATTTAGTCAGTGGAACACGTAGTACTTTTCAGTGTTTATAAGAGGCTGTAATAAAACACTGTTTCTATGCACAAAATTCCATGTAGAGCTCAGTTATTGTTTGTTTGCAGTGTTCAGTAGCAATGAGAAGTTAAACATAAAAATGTTGAAGTTAAATTACAACTGGCCCTTTGAGGACCACCATGATGCTCATGTGGCCCTCTGTGAAAAGGAGTTTGACACCCCTGCATTTCATGGTTATTTATATAGATAATCACGATTAGCAGTAGCCTTAACTTGTGATATTAACAGCTAGCTTCACACTCTTATGCTACAGTAATGAGAAATGAATGACAATGGTGAATCTCTGTGAAACTCTTAGAACTGAAGCTGTGCTAAGACAGCAGCAAATCCACTTTGCTTTTAGTCCTGCTCGAACAAGCCTGTCAGGCCTGTCAGAGTCCAGCACCATTGCCTTTCTGCTCAAACTTCACCTTAGACCTGAAAGATTTCGCCTGAGCTCCTCTTTGATTAAACCAGCTGAGGTGCAGGAGACTCAGCTTTCCCCTGACATCAAGATTAGTGACTCTGTCATCGAGTGAGGCTTAGCGGAGCTTCCTCTAACAACACTTAATTATCACGTCTAACACCTGGCTTCTTTTAATATTTTCCGAAAAGAAAGACGGAGTGTCTCGTTGACAAATCATTAGTCTACCTGGGAGGTTTCAGCTGCTCGTTGCAACACGTTGTATAACAATAAAAGTCAAATTTTCATTTTAGTCAGTTCATTTCAGAAAACCAAGGAATAAAATATGAAAATCTTAAAGAAGAAAGTTTAAACCCAGGTTACAAGAAATTAGTCTGATGATAATGTTTCCTGCAGCAGCAGCAACAGAAGGTTAACAAGAGAGAGAGAGAGAGAGCTGCTTTATTTGGCTCTCAGGCTGATTAATAGTTGCCAAACTAAAATCCTCAACAGGTTCAGAGTGCAATTCATCACAGGTAATATTGTAGACCCTAAATCAAAAGGGGTAATTCTGAGCTCAAGTAATTTTTAGTATATTGCTACCATTATTTTTGAAGAGGTCCCATTTTCCCCCGAAGTCCTTTTGCGCTGAGTAGTTATCTACTCAGAGTAGCTGGAGTGCAGAGTGAAGCATGTGAGGTGTTCACAGGAAGGCCAGAAGGTGTCTGCTCCCATTTAGATCAGACAAATATCTGCAAATTCAACCTTCAACTTAAAAAAAAGAGTTAAACTGTGAAGAACTATATTATTAGAACTTGCCGTCATGGTGTCAGGTGGTCAATCATGCCTGTCTATGTGGGTGTGTGGGCATGTCTATGAGCAAAATATCCCATGAAACATTATTTGAATAGAATAGAATAGAATAGAATAGAATAGAATAGAATAGAATAGAATAGAATAGAATAGAATAGAATAGAACGGAACTGAACGGAAATAGCCTTTATTGGAAGGGGAAATTCAGGGGTCACAGCAGCATCCATACAGAGGTTCACATACTAATTATTTTACAAACTATAGATATGTGCACACAAAACAAAATTTATTTATTGTATTTATGTATTTATTCATTTCATTTTAAAAAACAAAACAAAACACATTACATACAGAAAACATTACAAAAAAATAAAAGGAAAGGCAGCAGAAGAAGAAAAAGATCTTATATCTGCTCCTATTTACAAAAAATATATATATTAATTTCAAACAATAATAAACTAAATAATAAAACAAAAAAATTAAACTCCTCTAACAGTAACTCATACAAATTAAACAACGTCATATTTCTTAAACAATTTCGCTTTGATCATTTTTTTTAAGAAATGAATTGATCCAATGCTTTTATAATCATTTTCCATATTATTCTATAGTCTTATACTTTTCATTGAAGTACATCTGTCCTTCAAATT